CTCCTGCAGGCCTGATCTCACCCCCAAATGCCCTCCCCTGCCAACCTGATCGCTACTAACTTCCTCTGCCTCAGTCCCCACTACCATGGCTTTGTCCGGAAGAAAGTCAAACATCTGGAAGATGGCCAGTCAACCCAGTCTAATTAGTATATTACCCTTTTCTTAGTATAGATAGATTATATAGGATAGGATTGGTTAATTGTGGGGGGTGGGGTACCTTTTCAGCAGGATAAGATGCTCTTGTCTTGGCAGACAAAACTACATAATCCCTGTATCTGGACTGATAGCCAGCCATATACACTATACTGCCAAACTGGTCATTTAAAAAATGAATCATTTTCTAACACCTTACACTAAATAGTTGTTTCCCTTAAAACCCCTCCTCATCTCCCACCTTAGGTTCTGCCTTCACAGTTCACCCAGAGTAGGTTCTGATTAGAGGATGTCTATGCCAGTCAGTGTAAAAAGCTCCCCTTCTAGGCAGCCATTGACTCCTCGCACTTCACCCAGATTAGGTTCTGATTGGTCAATTTCTGTCAAAAGCTCTGACTCTCAGGCAGCCATTGGTTCCTTGCAATTCACCCAGATTTGGTTCTGATTGATTGGTGTCTATGCTAGTCAGGATCTCTGGGCCTATCTCCGGGCCTGATCATAGATGCAGGGCTGATCAGCAGCCACCCCAGGCTGACCTCTGGGAGAGATAAAGAGGCTTGGCTGCTGACGAGGCCACTGCTGATCAGCCCTGCCTCTCTCTCTCTCCGAGAGGTCAGCAGTTCAGCCTGCTCTGCTGCATGCTCAGCCTGGTGTTCAATTGAGCCTTTGGTCGTTTTGTATGTTACAACCCTGGCTCTTTATAGATAGATAGATAGATAGATAGATAGATAGATAGATAGATAGATAGATAGATATAGATAGATAGATAATGAACTATCAGAAAGAAAAATTTAGAAAACAATCCCACTTATTACTGCAACAACAACAACAACAAATAAGGTACCTAGGAATAAATTTAACCACGGAGTTAAAAGACCTATACTCAAAAAATTCTAGGCTACTGAAGAAAGTAATTGAGAAAGCTACATATAAGTGGAAGCATATACAGTATTCATTGATAGGAAAAATTAACATCACTAAAATGCCCATACTACCTAAAGCAATCTACAGATTTAACTCAATTCCTATCATAATACCAATGGCATATTTTACAGAATGAGAACAAATATTCCAAAAATTTATAAGGAACTATAAGAGACCCCAACTAGCCTCAGCAATCTCGAGAAAGAACCAAATTAGAGGTATCATACTACCTGATATCATATTATACTTCAAAGCCACAGTAATCAAAACAGTATGGCACAAGAACCCGCATATAGATCAATGAAACAGAACAGAGATCACAAAAGTACACCTACACCTTATGGTCAATTCATACTTGACAAAGTAGGCAAGAACATAAAATAGGGTAAAGATAGTCTAAAATAAATGTTGGGAAAACTGGATGCATACAAGAAATGAAACTTATACCATACACAAGAATAAACTCAAAGTGCATTAAAGACTTAATGTAAGTCACAAAACCATAAAAATCCTAGAAAGAAAAAAACACATAGACAATAAAATCTCAGACATGTCTCACAGCAATATTTTTGTGAACATATCTGCTCAGGGAAGAAAAACACAGGAAAAAAAATAAATGGGACTACATCAAACTAACAAGCTTTTGCGCAGAAAATACAAACCAACATCAACAAAACAAAAAAGGTAACCCACTGATTGGGAAAACATATTTGCCAATGATACATCTTATAATAGATTAATTTTGAAGAACTTATATAACTCAACACCAAGAAGACAAACAACCCAATTAAGAAATTGGTAACAGACCTGTCAGAATCCTATCATCCACAAATCAACAAACAACAAATGCTCGTGCACTCTTGGTGGGAATGCAGACTAGTGTAGACACTGCAGGAAACAGTATGGAGTTTCCTCAAACTCCCATTTGATCCAGTAATCCCCTTCTAGGAATATATCCCAAGAAATCAGAAACACCAATCAGAAAGGATATATGCACCCCTATGTTCATAGCAGCACAATTTAAGTAAAGATTTGGAAACAGCCTAAGAGCCCATCAGCAGAATCTATACAATGGAATACTACACTACTGTAAAAAAAGAAGGGACCCTTACCTTTTGCAACAGGATGGACCTGTAGAGCATTATGCTAAGTGAAATAAGCCAGTCAAAGAAAGATAAATATCACATGATCTCACTCATCAGTGGAATATAATGACCAACATAAACTGATTAACAAAAATAGAGCCAGAGTCTTATAAGCATCAAACAGACCATCCAACCTCAGAGGAAAGGCAGGAGAGGGAGTGGGGGGACGGGATGGGTAAGAGATCAACCAAAGGACTTGTGTGCATGCATATGAGCATAATCAATGGACACAGACAATTGGCGGGTGATGGCATGTGCTGGGGGGTAGGAGTGGAAGGGGAGAGGTCAACTGGGAGTAAAGGAGATTTATGTCATACTTTAAACAATAAAGAATTTTAAAATAAAATTTTAAAAAATACATGGGCAAAGGGTCTAGACAGACACTTCTCCAAGAGGACATACAAATGGTCAATAAACATTTGAAAAAATACTCAATATCACTAATTATCAGAGATGTGCAAATTAAAACCACAATGAGTTATCACCTCACACCTGTCAGAATGGCTATCCTATATAATAAAAGCCAGGCAACTGTTATGGCATAGAACGACCAAGAACCAGACAATAGATATGACGAGTACTTACCCAGACCTTGTTGTCAGCAGCCTGACAGCCCTAAATCCTATTCACCCACACCCGGACCCTGACAGGAAGGAGGAGGGAGCCGGATACCCACACCCGGACCCTAACAGCAGGGAGGTGGGACTACCATTCCTCGTGGAATCAGCCATTGGTCAGCTTGCTGTCTGTGCCCTGACAGCCATATTCCCGTTCACCCACACCCCTGACCCTGAGAGCAGGAAGGTGGGAGCCCCATCCCTTGCAGAATCAGCCACTGGTCAGCTTCCTGTCTGTGCCCTGATAGCCCAGAATCCCATTCACCTGCACCCTGGACCCTGTCACCAGGTATTGACAGGATCTATAGAAGGAGAGGTTGTTTGATTCCAAGAATTTATTTGTCCCCATCTGACACTGGTCTTCCATTTAAATTAATCTGAAGACAGTTTCCCGTGATGTTGGCATTTGCGATGACAATTAATAAATCACAAGGACAAAGCTCTAGACAGAATATTCCTACCTGAACCCGTTTTCAGACATGTTCAGTCATATGTTGCTTTCTCTTGATTTCAAAGAGCATGTGACATTAAAGTTATAAATACTTCATCACAAGGGGAAATCAGTCAAGCACTCTGAAAGTGTTTTCACTCTTTTGTTGTTTTTATATCATGTCCTTGTTGTTGTTATTGTTTATTTATTAATACATTTATATATTATTTTCATATACATTTTACTAATTTTCTTTCATCTCTGACACTTCTATTATAGAGAAAGGGAAAATAGTGATATTAAAATATTTCTTCTAATTTATTCCCTTTCATTGTGCATGAATTCGTGCACCAGGCCACTAGTCATCAATAAATAAACATGTGCTGGTGAGGATGTGGAGAAAGGGAACCCTTGTGCACTGTTGATGGGAATGCAGCCACTGAGGAGAACAGAACAGTGTTTCCTCAGAAAATTAAAAATTGAATTGCCTTTTTATCCAGTGATCCCACTTTAGGGAATATATCTGAAGAAACCCAAAACACTAATTCAAAAGAATATATGCACCCCTAAGTTCACTGCAGTGTTATTTAAAATAGCCAAGATCTGGAAACAACCCAAGAGCCATCAGTAGGTAGTAGATAAAAAAGCAGTGGTACTGCAGGGTCCGAGTGACTCAGTGGTTGAGCATCAACTTAGAAAACCAAGAGGTTACAAGTTTGATTCCCAAAGTGTGTGTGTGTGTGTGTGGGGAGAGGGAGAGAGAGAGAGAGAGAGAGAGAGAGAGAGAGAGAGAGAGAGAGAGAGAACGAACGAACAACAGTGTGGTGCTAGGGGAATGGGGGTAGGTGGAGGTGAGCAAAGGGGAGATAAATGGAGATGAAAAGAGACTTTGCTTTGGGTGATGGGCACATGAAACAGTGTATAAATGGCGTTTTTATTGAGTTGTACACTTGAAACCTGCATGGTTTTGTGAACCAATGCCATCCCAATAAATTCAATTAAAGAAACATTTAAAAGAATGGTTTTGCCGAAACCGGTTTGGCTCAGTGGTTAGAGCGTCGGCCTGTGGACTGAAGAGTCTCAGGTTCGATTCTGGTCAAGGGCATGTACCTTGGTTGCAGGTACATCTCCAGTAGGGGATGTGCAGGATGCAGCTGGTCAATGTTTCTCTCTCATGGATGTTTCTAACTCTCTACCCTTCTCTCTTCCTCTCTGTAAAAAAGTCAATAAAATATATATATATTTTTAAAAAAAGAATGGTTTTCCCTGAAAATGTTACAGAACTCTTACAAATTCAATTTCTTAATAGTAATATATTGATCTTCTTAGTATATAAATTCACTGCTAATAATACTAAGCTGTAATGAAAAAAAAGACTTGCGTTTTCCATATGAAACATCTGCTCTGTTATTTCAGTACTAAATAATCGCAGAGACTTTGAAAGGAAACGTGACCAGCGATGTGTTACTCGGGGGCCTCTAACTGTTGTTTGAGCCAGTTTTTGAAATAACCTCTCAGAATTTTTTCCCCCTTTGAAAACAGGATACTCTCCTTGGGTGGAAACCTTAAACATTCAAATGCAAAATGCAAAACCTTGACTAACACAGCCATGCTTTATGTAGCTCGCCCGCCTAGCTGCTGACACGGCCCTCAGCACGGTGACATTTTACGCACGTGTCCTAAGGTTGCAGGGACCCAGGCGAACTACCCGTCTCCTTCCTTTGCACCTACTTCCATGTTAATGTCGTAGTTCTGGCCGAGCACGCTCTGTATGAGCTCTTTGATGGTCTGGTCCGAGGCCAGCTGGGCCTCGGACTGCTGCGAGGCGAGGATCTCCTCGATGGACGTGGGCAGCGGGCGCACGGGCAGCGGGGAGTGCGCGCCGGCGCCCAGGCGCTCGCTGGCGGGCAGGCTGTCGGCGCTGGCCTCGGAGGCGGCGCGCGGCGTGTCCCGCGGGGCGGCGGGCGCGCCGTCGCGCAGGACCTGGGAGCGGATCCTCACTCTCCGCCGCCGGCCGGCCGCCTCGCTCCCCGCGCTGGAGGTCCTCCTGGAGGGCGCGCGGCCCTTCGTCTCTCTGGCGGCCCAGGCCTCCCCGGGCGGAGCCGCCGGCACCTTGGAGCTGTGCACCGGGGCGCGGGCCCGGGCTGGGGCCGGAGCCGCGGCCGGGAAGGGGGACCGGGCGCGGGCGGGGGACGAGCGGAGCTCGGGCTGCGCCTCCGCGGGCTGAGGACTCCAGCGGCCCGTGCGCTCCGCCGGCTTCCTCCTCCACGCGGGGGGCGGCCTCAGCACCACGGGCCTGGACGTGCCGGCCCGGGTGGCGATGACCGGCGGCTCCTTCGGGGCCCGGTGCCGGCGGAACGCAGAGCTCCGCAGGTAGAAGTCCCGGGGGCGGAACGGGGGCCTCCAGGGCGCGGCGCCCTCCCCGGGGTCCCAGGGCCCGGCCTCGCGGAGCGCCCGCTGCAGGAGGCCCGCCGCGGGGGCCGCGGGGCCCTTGGCCCAAGGGAGGAGCCCCGGCGGCTCCCGGGGCCGAGCGCAGGGGAAGCCCCCCTTGGCCCCGGGCCTGGCCGGGCCACTGACGGCCGGGACTCCGTCCACGAAGGTCTTGGAGGCCAGCCTCTGCTTGAAGCGGAGAAGATCCTGTTTGGTCTTCCTGCGGACCTTCTCAAGCTCTCTAAACATGTACGATTCTTCCTTATAGCTCAGGCCAAAGTGCTTGGGGATCGTGGACATCCTGACCAGCTTGTCCTGCGAAATAACAATAGGTTAACATATAAACAAGAGGCTGTTGACAAAATTCCAGCCCACAAAGCTTATCCTCGCAGACCGCTCGCTGGGCTCCCTGAGACACCAGTGGGCAGTGGTTCTTGGTACCGTTTTGAAACCAACTACTGACCTTTCCACAGGAACCATGGAAAACCTTTAAAGCCTCTTTTACAGTGGGTGTTTCTGATACCGCTGTTGGGTTTATTGTAACACTGGAGGCCCCATGCACTAAATTACTAAATTCTGCACTGGGGGGGGGGGGGGGGGGGGAGACACATCCCTCAGCCTGGCTTAGCCCTCTCAAAGTCCAGGAGCCCTCAGGGGACGTTGGGCCTAAGCCAGCAGTGGGACATCCTTAGCATTGAGATGGGAGAGGCTCCCGCCACCGCTGCTGAGCTGGCCAGCCCAGAGCCTGGCTTCTGGCTGAGCAGGGCTCCCCCTGTGGGAGCACACTGACCACCAGGGGGGCAGCTCCTGCATTGAGCGTCTGCCCCCTGCTGGTCAGTGAGCGTCATAGCGACTGGTCGTTCCCCTGTTGCATATTAGCCTTTTAGACTATAATGTAGTGTCGCGTTTCCATAGTGCACATAGTACACAGAGACCACAGTGCACCCAGGCACAGGAAATCTCAAGCAGTCTGGCAGGATAGCACTTTCCACCTCCTCCTCCAGCTGGCCCTGGGTGTCTCCATCCCTGACCAGCCCACTTCCCGCCGTGTGCCACCTGAGCCCAGCAGCCACGAGGTAGGCTGCAGTGAGATCCTAAGGCCGCAGGCCAGGTGACAGAACTCTCTCTCTGTGAACTACTAGAAACCATTTGAAAACTTTTAATAGAAAAGTGATTTGGTACCATCTAGTGCTAGAGGGATATTAATTTTGAGTGGGAGAAACAAATAAAGGGAGGGAGAGCAAATAAGAGTATCCAAAGCTTGAGCCTTAGAACTGGACTTGATAGCCTACCAGAGTGAAAACAGAGACCTAACAAGGTAAAACTGATAGGATCTGGCCAATGATGAGGAATAACTGGGAGCAATTAAAGCTCCTTCATAAAACAGGAACTTAGTGTCACCTTCATAAAGTCTTGGTCATAACCAAATACATAATAAACTTTCTGCTACTCACTGCATTGTGCATTGTACACTTTAAAATGGTTAAAATGGTAAATTTTATGTTATGTGTATTAGCACAATTAAATAAAAACACTTCTTCTATTCAGCAGGGCAAGTTATCTATGATCATAAGTGCACTTTGAGATCTTAAGAGCTCTGAAGTCACCTCCAAAAGCAGGACAGGAAATATAAATAGAAAAGGGTCAATGACAGATTGTTTGGCAACATCACCTGTGGCAGGTAGGATGGGTAAGAGAAAAAAATGAGTTAGGAAATGAGAACAGAGTTCCACAGAAGCCAAGAAGAGAAGAGTTTTGAGAGTAAGGATAAATGAACCCTGGCAGATGTGACTCGGTTGAATGTCACCCCATTCTCTGAAAGGTCACTGGTTACCCAGAGGTCACCAGTGCCTGAGAAGGGGTGTTCAGGAGGCAGCCAATCAGTGTTCTCTCTCTCCATCTCCCATTCTCTCTCTCTACAATCAATAAAAACATATTTTTTTAAAAAAAGGATAAGGGTAAAACAATTAAAATAAAAGCAGAAAATAATGAATTAGAAATACTTATTTATTTTTTAGAAAACGCAAGGCTGAGGTTCTTTGAAAATAAATAAAACAATAAAGCAGAAACACCTCTGGAATGTCATCATTGTTTCCAAATATGATTATCTACCTACAAAACCTAAGCACTAAAAGCTAATTAGTATTATAATAATTAGTATTATAATAGAGTTTTACAAGGCATTTAAATTTTTAAATAACTTCATTTAAATCAAAATGATATATTCAAAAGCAAAATGTCAAAATTCCATTATACAAGATTTATAATTTATTTTAAAAGTATCTTAGGAATAACAGAACAAAAAAAGTCCTAAAACTGCATGAATTAAATTTTTTTTTAATTTTTCTGAAATACATAAAAGAGAGTCAACTAAATAAAAAGTTAATGTTCCTTGGTGAGAAGACCAAATATTTTAATTATATCGATCTTTCCAAAATAATATATTGATTTAATGCCATCATAATCAAAATCTAAAACTGGTATTTTAAACTTTGAAGAGTAATTCTGAATTCATTTGAAATAATAAACAGATTAGCCAAATTTTGAAAAGGGAAATGAGTAAGCACTTGTCCAACAAGGTAATTAAAACTTACATAGCCCAGCCAGCATGGCTCAACCTATGAAACAGGAGGTCATGGTTTGATTCCCAGTCAAGGCTCATGCCCAGGGTTTCAGGCTCAATCCCCAGGGTGGGGCAGGCAGGAGGCAGCAAATCAATGATTCTCTCTCCTCCCTTCCTCTCTGAAATAAAAATATATTTTTAAAAACTTATACAGATAAAAGCATTAAAACTGATACACTGATGCTAGAATTAACTTATAGACTGAGCAAAAGAATTAAGAATAATATGGCTTATGTTATAAATGCAGTATTAAATTGGTGATAAAATAAGAAATATGAATAAATTATGCTAAGGCAAATGGTTGAAGATAGTATGGGGGCAGGGAGGGAAACTACACTTCAACTTATGACATGTTTCCAAATACAATGGGTTTAAGACTTAGACATGGAAATTATGTTCTTTTTAAATTGGCATTTCTTTGCTTAGTAGCTATCCACATTTCTTGGTAGAATTTATTTTTATCAATTCCTAAAAGAGTTGGTTTTACAATTATATTTCTTCATTTGTCATGCGGTATGTGAAATATGAAGAAAACATCCTATTTATCAGCCTTTAAATATAGTCATATTACTTTTAATCTCCAAAATGCCCATTGCTGGCTCTCAAACCCAACACCCTCCTACAATACATGCAGAGCGCTCATCTGTGGATCAGTAGGCTTTCTTTCTCTATGCAGCTCCACCGCTGGCCAGACCTTACACGATTCAATTCTATCTGTAATAAGACTTCATACTAAAAAGTGGAAATAGTAACCTTTTGCCTCTACTTCAGGCCATAATATATGAACATTAGAAATGATTTCTAGAGCTCTTAAGGGAGTTTCCTTATTTTAAAGATGCTGTAGAATCTTTCTTATAGTGTTTTGACAGTTGTTGTTTGCACAGGTGGTAATAGGTCTATAATGACACCATCTGCATTTCTTTGTACAAAAGACTAAAAGGAAGTGCCTGGAACAGAAAACAGACCAGAAATACATTCATACAGTATGAGAATTTGACTTGACTCTCTCAACTGCACTTCCCTTTTTCTTCTTTTTCTTTTCTTAGTTCCTGCTTTGTATTCCCTTCCCAACTTCTCCTGGCTTATGGTTTGTTGTTGACATTTAACAAGTGGTTATTGTTCAACATTTCTCATTACATTCTCTTGAGTTCTTCATGAGAAAGTTGCTCCTTATATGTAAAAAAATAAACCAATAGGAAATAGAACTAAGTTTGACAGGAACTTCTATTATGTTTTCTAACTAGGTGGTACCCCAATGCTAAATGGGCCAGTCCATCAAAGCTTGGTGCCTTTATAGCCCCTTCCCACCCCCTCAATTCTGCAAAACATGTAAAATCCTTTGTAAACATCCAACATTATGGGGAAATAATGTGTTCTCTATTTTCTTAGTAGTTAATTATTAAAAAGAAAGAGACTAGGTCTGACTTGGAAAAATAATGTAACCATTACAAAAAAGAAAGTATTAATCTACATAGGTATCAAGCATGCTGCTCATAATCCAGGTTGATTAAGTTTATGCTATATTTTAAAATGGGAAAGAGTGTGCTTGAAATCTTTGCAACCTGTGCAGTAACTTCACTCTCCTCTTTTTTACTAATGATTAGAATTCTGTGCCTTTTCCTTCCTGCTCTACCAGGAGGGTCAATGTCTAAGCAATGAGGTAGTAAGAAAGGTCAATAGCTAGCCCTCTCTCCTATCTCACAAAGTCTGGTCAGACATAAGGAGGAAGCTCACTGGCCAAAAATGACTAAAAGTCAGGAGGGGCTACCTGTGTGAAGTCTCTAGACTCTGGAACAGGTTGCTCTCTGGTTATTGCAGGTGTAGCTGTTCATCCTATCAGATCAGAAGATACAAAACTCTACTCTAGACTCTAACTAAGGTAGAAATAAGTAGAGCAGACCACCAGATGATTTGGCTGCAAGTTACATGAACACTTCACATTGGGAAATGATTCCTCATAGAGTAATCTAGTTGATTTGAGTAGGATACTAGAAAAGGGTTAGCAGTCAGACATTGGGAATGGAGTCAAAGCCGCAGTGGTTATATGGGTTACTTCCCCCTGACCTCCTCCACTCAGTGGGGAGGGTGAATCACTAAGAATAAGATTTAGGTTTTATGAACCATTGCCAATATCATCTCAATTCACTTCCTAAATTTCACATAAACATCAACTTCCAATGCACAGCACTACAGTTTCAAAAGAAACATTTAAGCCAACTTCAGCTTATTTCGTCTAATAAAATCACCAGCATTGCAGGAAAAATATATATATTCTGAAAACAATATTTGCTTTTGAAATATCAGTGGCAGAAACAAGATCTCTTTGTATACTGATGATAATTTATGAAGAAGTCTAAAATACATAAACATTTTTAACAATTTCACTAAGAAAATGGGATAATTTTTTTTATTTTTTTACACTTTCTATAATACTGTTTTTTCCCACCTTTAATCCTAATAATATCAATAATACTAATAGTAAACAACAAATATGATGCTGGATTAAAGTGATATATAATACAGAAAACGTTGTTACCAATTCAGAAAATAACTTTTCTAAAACTATTCAGAAGTCCACAGAATTTTCCATAAAAGCCCTTTATCATTCTGGCCATAAGAATCAGAGAAAAGCTTCCAGGCAACCACCACTATGGCGGAATGAGAGAGAGATCCGAGA